GTCAGTTCAACTTTTTAATTTCTAAGTAGCCTTTTATTCCCCAAAACATTTAAATACCCAAGTTGAGTGCTTAAAGTAAAATGTGATAACGTGGGGCATGGCAGGTAATTAAGCATTTTCAATCTTATAATCATGGTGTCGTTACAATGCAAAGAACTTACAAAGTACTGCTTGAGGGAACTATTTATAATTAAAGCTTAAAAAACGAACCAACAAAAACTCTACATTCGTTTCTTCCCAGCTTAGTTCTTCAATTTGGAGAATAAAAGGTAAACATTCCAAACAGTTTTATTTATAATTTTGAATTGTCAATTTGAATTTTGCTACTGATCTGTGAGCAACCATTTTAACTTTCACTCATCTCTAGGGATATTTAAAAATAAATACATTTATATGCTTATATAATTGTGAAATAAATCAACTGTTTAAAAAGGAGAGAATTTGTAATTACTTGTGTTTGCAAATAGACACCATTTTCCGTGTTGAATAGATTATAACTGTTATCTATGCATAGGCCTAAGAAAGGTGGCACATGAACTGTGCATGTAATTTTATGGGTAAATTAAAATAAGTGGGTTTTTCTTAGTGTGACTCATTAACAACAACAACAACAAAAAAAACAGAGAAGATATTCTGTGAATATACTATATATTGAAGTCAGAAACCTTACCAAACATGGAAAACATCAAAAACTGCTGCCATACTGTTTTCTACTATAGGCTGCTTTGGAAATAATTCCCATATTGTTGCTTTGTAAGTTAATATCACTATGCATTTCTACACATTTTATAAATTTGATTTATGAAGATTTTGATACACTGTATGTTTCTGTAGAAATTATATAAATATTCAAGATTTATTAGGGTAAATTTGAGAAGCTAATGTATACCTTAATTCTGGGTTGCGTGTTTTTTAGGTGAGGAAAAAAAATAAAATATTCTATTTTAATTCATAGCTTTTTCAGTATTTGTAATCATTTCTAACTCTAACAAGTACATCTTACTGAGTTGCTTTTTTTTCAATTTACAGGATTCAGAATTAAAACCTGAAATATTACAAATAATAGTTATTAGTTGTGGGTATGTTTGAGCATTGGTTAGAATTCTTGTACATGTCCTTAGAATACTCAATTTATCTGTTTAGGAAGGAACATAGCAACTTCTGGTTGCCCATGTATGTCAATAGTTTGTTACCTATTTAACAATTATATAAAATATCAACAATAGATACACTTATTGACAGCATATAATTACCTATATAATTGCCTATAAAAAGCAAAGCTTTCTTTAAATCAAAATTATAACAGCAGATGAATTGAAGCAAAGAGAAGACTACCAGAATGAAATTAGAAGCAGCCCATAGAGTGTTGTGTAAAGCTGTCTCAAGAGAAAATACGGCTGCTAACAGATTGAAGGAAGTTTTCTGGGTTAAATTGGAAACTGTTGAACTGAATTGTCTATTTCTTGTCTTTCGATCCTTAGCTGTTGTAGTAGTAGGCTAAGAAATTTGAATAGTGACAGCACCAGAGAGGAATAAATGGGGACTTGCTTAGTCATAGGAATCATTGCTTTTTATATCTAGACAGAAAGTCCACAATAAGGGGCTGGGAAGGTGGCTCAGTGGTAGAGTGCTTGCCTTGCATGCATGAGGCCCTGGGTTCGATTCCTCAGCACCACATGAGCAAAAAGAAAAAAGCAGGAAGTGGCGTTGTGGCTCAAGTGGTAGAGCGCTAGCCTTGAGCTGAAGAGCTGAGGGACAGCGCCCAGGCCCAGAGTTTAGTCCCCACGACCGGACCCAAAAAAAAAAAAAGAAAAGAAAGTCCACAATAATTCAATGGAAAACATGTCTGGTACTTGATCAGAGCCAGACCTTGAAGGCAAAAGTTTAGGCAAGTAAAATTATTTCATGCAAAAGCAGTTAAATATTGAGCGTTGGTCTGGGAAGGTGGCTCAATGGTAGAGTGGTAGAGTGCCTTGCATGCATGCATGAGGCTCTGGGTTCGATTCCTCAGCACCACACCAACAGAAAAAGCAGTCAGTGGTGCTGTGGCTCAAGTGGTAAAGCACTAGCCTTGAGCTGAAGGGCTTAGGGACAACACCCAGGCCCAGAGTTCAAGCACCATGACCGACCAAAAAGAAAATTGAGCATTATGAAAATATTCATTAAAATCAATGTGATTTAAGAAAATGAATGAAAATTTGAATGATTTGGGGTTTTATTGTCCTTAAAAATGGAGATTTAAAGGAAGGATGAATTCTACAATAGATCCAATACCTGCTTTGTAATTCTTTCTTTATGATTTTGAGATGCCCATAATTGAGGTTGGCAAATGCCAAATTTTTGAGTGAAGTAGGCCTGGAGCCTTCATCTGAGTAGAGCAACGTAAGACTGTAGTTTTTACAATAGAATGATGTTACAGATGCTCAACTTAATGGTAGGATAATAAGATGGAGTCTGAAGTCTGATTATTACTGTGCTCCACTACAAAGTACCCTATAACCTTGGATAAGTTTTTTAACCTCAGAATGACAGTATTCTCATTTATATAATAGAGAAAATTGCCTGTTTTATAGGATTGTTATTAGGATTGCATGAGTTAACATACATACAGTGATTATATAAAGTTCTCGGCACAAATTCAAGGTGATATGTTAAATATTATTCCAATTTCCAATCTTAAAATCTGTATTTAATCAGAATAAGCCACTCTACAGACCTGTATAAAGGGTCTGTGTCTGCATTTTCATGTTTCCTACATCAGGTATGTCATTACTCCTATTTTAAAAGTAAAGAAATGAAGCTCAAAAGGTAAATAAAGATGTGGAATGATTGCTCTAATGGTTATCTCTGCCTTGTCCAATTCAGTTTCCTGTATCAGGTGTCATTACTCCTATTCTAAAAGAAACGGAAGCTCTTTAAAAGGTAAACCATGTGGAATGACTGCTCTAAGGGAAGAAATGGTTATCTCTGCCTTGTGCAATTCACATAATCTGCCTATAGTTCAGTGGTTTAATTGAACTTGTGGAAGTGCCATCTTGAAGATTTCATCCATTTAAATTACCTTTGAATGAAGCAGGAACTGTTGGCTCACACCTGTATTCCTAACTACTTGGGAAGCTGAGATCTGAGGATGGCAGTTTGAAGCCAGCCTAGGAAAGAATGTGCCTGAGATTCTTGTCTCCAATTAACCACAAAAGGCAGGATGTGGCTCATGTGCTAAGAGTGCTAGCCTGGAGCAAAAACAAAAACCAAAACACGCACACACACAAAAAAAACAATCCTAAGGGACAGTAATCAGGTTCAAGCCTCAGGACTGGCAAACTTATCTTTGAATAAAATCCATTTGAGATTTTGCTATGACTAAATTCTGGCTGTATTAAGGATTGAATGCCCCAAATTTTTTAGAAAATGTGATGTCTCAATTAGTCTTGGACTTCATTCATTATCCTAAACTATACAATGCCAAAATACATGGGGCAACTTTTCATAAATTGGATAGCACACAAGAGTATTAAAAGCATTTTCAGGAATTGGACAGCAGACAAAGCAAACTGCATCTTAAAAGAAATGTGCAGGTGAATCCTAAGCTCATCAATCTGTCTGCATGGTAGAACTTAAAAGCCATGGTCCAACACATGGAATTCGAGTGTTGCTTAACTGAGGTGGCCAAATTAGGGTTTGGGGCTGCTGAAAGAGCTGGAGTGAGGCAAGTTAGTAGAGGTGACTTCACTTGACTATCAAAAGTCCTTCAAAGGATTTTTTATTAGTGATGGAGTTTGAACTTAGGGCTGGGAGCTGTCGTCCCTGAAGCTCTTTTGCTTAAGGATAGCCACAGCTCCACTTCAGCACTTTTTTTTAGCACTGCCATTTGCAATAGCAGCAACACAACACACAAAAAAAACCCAACCCCAACAACAGTGCTTTACTTAACCACAGAACGGTGTTAGAATCATTCAGTATTATAGTAATAAACATAAACTAGTAGTATCTTACAGTATTAAATGAAACCAATTCCTTAAGGACTTCAGTAAATTTTATAAATACTAAATGACAAAAACTATATATATAGGGGCAGCTATTCTAAGAATCTTTAAAGGATAAAGTATTCCACTTACTGGGGTTCTCAAGTAAAGTGACAACCAAGGCTGTATACTTGCCTAATTCTTACCTTCGTTTTAGTGCTTCCAAAACTTGCATTCATTGAAATCATCTATCCATTAACTCCCCATTTAAAAGAACATTTTTTAAAAAATGTATTACAGACAGACACAAAAGTATGAGACAAAAGAACCCTCTGGGATAGATTTAGACATCCTTAAGATTACTTCAATTTTAGCAATTCTTTTTTACCATCTCTTTGTTGCATTAGTACCATACTGATTCTATACCATTTCACCTAAGCCATTGAATGTATTCTGGTAGGAGTCTAATTAATTTAACCAAAAATGAAATTATCCTTACCAAGTACTTACTCCAAATGGCAATAGAGAAAACCAAGAATCACATGGCTGAATAATGCATTTCCATTTTGGTATTATTTCAGTTTAGTGCAGATGTTCAACTTTACTAGTAACCTTAACTGACAATTGATTCCTCATATGACCATTCCTAAAAAGCTTTGTCCTTCAAATACAAATCCTGGTGAAGCACAAGTTAGTCCTGGAGTAAGTAACACACCATCTCAGATACTAATTTTAGACTTGTTACTCAGAATTCTAAAGACCAAAAATAATTCAAAATCTAATTTGGTAGTCTACGGCTAAACAAGTTCAACTCAGTAACAAAATTATCGTTGCTACTGATTTCTTAAAACCAAGTAATTCACTCCACACACTATCTTCCCCAAAGTGTTTAAAAAGAGGGACAAGCAAATAGAAATGTCAAGCACAAAACTTTTATCACTACCTAAAAAGCTACTTGGCAGAAATAGCAAAAAAATTGACCAAGGCTGTATGCTAAGAGGAAGTTAGTTTAGTATATCAAGACAGACACAATACAAATAATATACATAATTTTATTACAAATTTTTTTAAAAAAACAAAATGCAACATCCTAAAAAACCCAAAATTTATGATACTCATTCCTATGAAGTTTGCTGTGCTACAAGAAATTAAAGAAACCATTAAATATTTAGGAACATTCAACATCAAAAGCTTTAAAATCTAACTGTATGTAGTAGCCCCTCAAAAAGCTACAATCTGCATAAAAAAAAGTATTTTCTCTACAAAGAATCTCATCAGCTATACAAAAATCTGTACAGTTTTTATACTGAAGCTAATGTTGAGCTGCACTTGAATTCACATTCTTAGCAAAACAATTGCCTGAGCGCACACACACATTCCACACACAATCGCCATTTATTCTTCATCTTCATCCTCTTCTTCCTCATCTTCATCATCTTCCTCTTCCTCCTCCTCTTCCTCATCTTCTGGTTCATTCTTCTTCTTTGAGCCAGTTGGCCTACCAGGGCCCTTCTTTCCTGCTTCACTTTTGTCCTTGGCACGATATGCAGCAATATCCTGAAATGTCAAAATAATGAAAATCAGCATCCGGTATCATTACTCAATAATGAGAATCCTTGGTTGTAAACAACTAAAATTACTGGCCAATAATCCTGATCGCTGTCTAAAAAGGAATTCAGAGTCTACTCTACCTTAGGTTTGAGAGCACTTGGTTCCCTTTAGGCTTTAAAAAAGCTAATGATGGGGAGCTTTCATTATGAAATGCTAGTCCTTTCCTTACCAACTGTGATACACATTCCTTCTAATCTCACATTTTAGGAATATTTACACTTAATCCAACACACTTCTTAATCAGATTTGTATTAACTGCAAATGAGCACACATACCGGAATTTACCATGGCTGCAAACAGTGCTTTTTTCAAACAGGTGTTTGTTGTATTGTCCACCTCAGTATATAAGTTTCAGCAAGGTTTTCCCTGACTGACAATCATTAACATACCAGACACCTAAGTTTTCCAACGCTATGCAATTCACCTGTTTCTAACATATTTTAATAAAGCATTTACTTAATTTTAACCTTTTAAAAAGAAAGGCCAGATGGCAAGTTTACCTTCTCGTATTTCTCCTTTAGTTTAGCTGCTTTCTGCTCATAGGGCTGCTTATCTTTGGCCGACTGTTCGGACCACATCTCACCCAATTTCTTTGCAGTATCCCCAATGGAGAGGCCCGGGTGCTCACTCTTGATCTTTGGGCGATGTTCAGAACAAAACAGGAAGAAGGCAGATCTGAAAGGAAACAACAAAGAATTAACCAGTCAAATGGGAAGGGAAAATATAAAAGTTTCGCTATTTGAAGAAAACAAAAACACTCACGGTGGTCTTTTCGGAGCATTGGGATCTTTTTTCTTCCCCTTCTTATCGCCTTTGGGAGGAACGTAATTTTTCATCTCCCGGTCGTAGCGAGCTTTATCACTTTTCGCCATGTCTTCAAACTTCGACTTTTCTTTTGCAGACATGGTCTGCAGAATAGGAAGAGGGGACCAAAAAAAAAATGCAAAGTGTAATTTAGTTTTGTTATACACATACACATGCTTATGTGTGATCTTTCAGGATCTCGCTTCCTGAGGCAACAACACTGCCGTGTGTGCTGCACAGAAAGTAAAGGCATCTGGGTTAGGGGACGAGCTGAATCCGACCAGTCAAGTTTTGAAGTTCAAATCCAAACTCATTTAAAGGATTATCCGCAACACCTTCGGCTCGTGGAGCGCGGCTCTCCTCCCCGGGCCCCCACCGACTCCCTCTCACCTTCCATCTCTCCGAACACTTCTTAGAGAACTCGGCGAAGTTCACCGAGGAGTCGGGGTGCTTCTTCTTGTGCTCTTCCCGGCAGGTCTGCACGAAGAAGGCGTACGAGGACATCTTGCCCCGCGGCTTATTCGGGTCGCCTTTACCCATGGCGCCAGAGGGGCGTCTACCTGCGGGCGACGGCGGCGCGGTGAAGCGGCGAGGCGGCGCGGCGCGGCCGGCGCTGGCGGGGCTCAGCTTCCCGCGCAAACTCGCGCGCCCGGCCGCGGCCCCTCCTCCCTCGGCGGCCGCCGCCGCCTCCGCCCCGGCCGCGCGGCTCCCCGCCTCCGCGCCCCGAGGCCGCCCGCCCGCCCGCCGGAGCCCGGCCCACCCGGCCCGCCGGAGCCCGGCGCTCCGCACGCGCCACCGGCTACTTCCCCTGAAGGCCGCGAAGCCGCCGCCCGTGCGCCCCCCTTACACACTTACGCTTACACACACACTCACACACGGGCCGCCGCGAACACCCCCACACCTCCGCCCGGTGTTCGGAAGGCCGCCGGCCCGGGGCGGCTTCCGCGTCCGCGAGCCCCGCTCGCTCGGGGCCTCGAGGCCCACCACAATCAAATTTACCCCGGGCCCCCGGGGGGCCCTGCCCGGACTCGGCCCCGGGAAACCGCTCTCCCACCCCGCCGCCACGGCCCCGGCCCGCCAGCCCGGCACCCCGCGCCCCGCCCGCCAGGTGGAACCCCAGAAGCCGCGGCGCCCACACCCGACAGGGGACTCCCAGAGGCCGGGAAGAGCCCACAAACCCGAGGAGGCCTGAGGGGGGTCCCGCTGGGCCGAGCTTCTCCTCAGAGTCCCACCAAGCGTCCGGGTTCGACGGAGCCGCGGCTGCCCAGCACTCCGGAGTGAACTGGTTTATCGCTAACGCAATCCTCAGCTCTTGTTTTGCAGAGTTCTCCGCGCCACCGTAACTTGAAGAGTCCCCGCCACTGGCCACACCCCTCTCCTCTCTGATTGGCTTGTATGATTATTCAAACCCTCAAAGTGCCCGCCTCTCGTCCGTAACGGCCTCTCATTGGTTAGTATCTCATTAGGTCCGTCCCTCCGGTCCCAGCCTAGCAGGTTCGGTGGGTCTCCCAGGTCGTTAACTCCCAGACCCGTTAGAACCGGTCAGGAGAGGAATGTACTGCTCGACTCTGATTGGCGGCAGGAAAAGGGTTTGAAAAATGGCGGGCCTGGCACCGATTGGCTAGAACTATAAGGAGGCGTGGTCGACCCAAGAGGCAATGTCCCGCCAGATTTAAAATAAGAAGTGGAGGCACTTTCATGTTGGTTTTTCCCCTAGAGGCTGACGGGAGCAGCCGGTTTGGTAACGACAACGCCGCGGGAGGAGCCCGCGCTGTCTCCTCCGCCCACGCTAGCCCGTGTCTCGGTCGCCCCAGCCCGGCCCGGCCCTCCCCGCGCCATGTACGGGAGTTTGCCCGGCGAACCGTCGCCCGGCTCTTCGTGGTCGCCGGAACCGGCGTAGACCCCGAAGACAAGGCTCTTGGGAGAGGGTATGAGGCGCGGGAGGGCGGCTGCTCCCACTTGGGGGAAGGGGAGGTTTACGCCGAGGGCGCTTTCCTCAGGTGGTCCCTCGGGGCGTCCCTTCCTCGTCCTGGAGGGGTTCAAACTGGGGCCTAGGAGGTAAACCGGGGGGCGGGGGGGGGCAGGAGGGGAGTAGAGACGGTCCGGGGGCGGAGTCGGCGCCCTGGCCCCGCCCCTCGCGCGGCGGCGGGGGCGGAGTCGGCGCCCTGGCCCCGCCCCTCGCGCGGCGGCGGGGGCGGAGGGGTGTGTGTGGTCCCTGTGCTCTGCGCGACTGCGCACTTGGACGTCTAGGGCAAAGGGAGGGGGCCGGGGGCCGGGGGCCGGGAGGCGGACTGGGAGCGCTCGGCGGTTGAAAGCCCTGTGACGGCGGTAGGTGCTGCCCGGCCCCGGCTGCCTCGGCGCCCGGCGGTGAGCCTCAGGCTTGGGGTCCCCCGCCCCCGGCACCTCCTGGCCAACGTGGCGCTGACGGTTGCAGCGGGTTTGAAACATGCCCTTCGTGTTTCCGTCCAGCGCGCCTGCTGGCTGGGCCATGCGTCCTCGGAGTAGTTCAGAGTCACCAGCCTGTACCCCAAACCCACGGGTGCGTTCATCCAAAGACGCAGTGAAGAACTAACTCCCTGCCTGGAAATGGCCACGTTGTAAAGTCATTTAACACCAGTGGGTTGGACGGTTAGAATGACCGTCAGACTCATTTCTGTTAGAGTTCACCGTAATGGAAAAAGACAGTAGCCTGACAGGGTTGCTTTTTGCTTTTTTTAAAAACATTTTCTTGTTTTAAGGCTGTCAGTAGCAACATCAATACACTGGTTACTAGGCCAGCGGGGAGAAAGCCCAAGTGTAGTACAGAAATCGCAGACTAAAGTGTTACACATAGTCCCCTGCCTGGGGAAACGCTGTGCGGGAGGAGGGGGCTCCCTGGGCCCTGGACCTGGGTGTGGGTATGGGGGTATGGGAGGGTGAGGGTGTGGAGGGCGGGGCGAGGGCGGCTTCTCGGCCTTCAAGGCCTTGCACTCTTACTTAGCTTTTTCACTCAGGCTGATGCTCTTGAGCCACAGCTCTACTTCCAGGTTTTGTGCTGGTTAATCGGAGATACAGGAATCTCATGGGCTTTTCTGCCCAGGCTAGCTTAAGTCTTAAGATCTAAACCTCTGATTAGCTAAAATTACAAGGGTGAGCCACATTCTTAGTTTATACTCTTTTGGGGGTATACCTCAGCCTTCAATACCTACAAAATGAGTCGCAAATGTGATGTCAAAAAGCAAAACAAAACAAAAAAAAACTCCAAGTGAACTGAATCTTACTACATTATTTAATAGCAATGTGAGACTGATAATGCATTATGCTTTTTAATCTTTTTTCTTTTTTTTTTTTTGCCAGTCCTGGGGCTTGAACTCAGGGCCTAGGCACTGTTCCTGAATTTCTTACCCTCAAGGCTAGCACTCTACCACTTGAGCCACAGCAATACTTCTGGATTTTTCTGTTTATTTGGCACTGGGGAATTGAACCTACGGCTTCATGCATGCTAGCAAGCAATGTACCACTAAACCACATTCCCAGCCTCTCATATTTTTAAGTATATTCTTTAAAAAGAAAATATGTGATGGCCTAATTGTGCTTATATAAAGTTTGGGCATTTACTGAAGAACTGCTACTTGAATGCCACGAGCATTAAGATTAGCAATAGAAATATAAAGGAGAAATGTCATGGTATTTGCCCTCAGAAAATTTAATGTAGAGGGAGATAGAAATAGGAAACAACAGTGTAACATATGAATTGTCATATTGCTCAATAGTGAAGGCATAAGACAATATCCTAATACTGTGTAGAAAGCCCAAATGAAAGGCAGAGGGCTTTGGAGAAAGCCTGGCACATTTGGAGATCCAACTTAGTATTATTATTTCAATATAACATGAAATTAGTAATTAAGGCATAAATATGGCTGGTACTGGACTGGCAGCTTCAGAACTTAAGACTTCATAATATAGGCAAAGGACCCACTAAAAAGTGTGAAGGAAATGAAATGGATTTCCATGTTAAGACAGTATGTGTGGTTTTATAAAAAATAAGATCAAGTTTATAATTTAGAAACCAGTTTACTCAGGGCACCTGTGGCTCACACCTCTTCCTACTTAGGAGGCTAAGATCTGGGTGAATCAAACCAAGCTGGGTCAGAAAAGTCTGCTAGATTTCCTGTCCAAAATAACCAGCAAAAAAGCTGTGCTGGAAGTATAGCTCAAGTGGTAGACTGCCAGCTGAGCAGACATGAAGCCCCAAGTTCAACCTTTAGTTGCAGCCAAACAGAATATCAATTTGTTATACTCATTTCTTTTCTCTGGCTCCAGAGTTGTAATCCCAAAGGTAGTGCTAAGATTATCTATTTACATACACGATCTACAAATTTACCAATTTTTTGATATTAGCTAAAGTTTTACTTGATGAATTTTACATAGTTTGTTGATTTCACCAACTATGTTCCAGTTCATATTGTAAAATCAACTTCTAATTCAGTTCTATATTCTATTCTAATACCGATGCTTCCATAAGTCATGATTTTGGGTTTTTCTTTTTTGTTTTCCTTTTTAGGCACTGTTTGGATTCTGGGCCTCCTCCCACTTGAAGGTTCTACCACTTGATCCATTCTTGTTGCCCTGTTTTTGCTGGTTATTTTTGAAATAGAGTTTTGTGAACTCTTCTGCCTGGGCTGCCCTTCAAACAAGTAAGATTACAGACATGCGCCACCAGTACCCAGAAGCCGCTTTCCTTTCTAAAAATTGCACTAGTAATTGATTGAATTTGGGTTGCTATTTTTCAGAAAGATTTTTTAATCACCCCTCAATTGATGATGCCTGCAAGGGACAATAAAGCAAGCTGAAAATAGATGGTAGGCTCACTTGAACAGTGAGGATTTCAAAAAATGATTTTACTTAGAAATAAGGTCATTGCCGATATAACTAGCAAGATAAGTTTTAATGTAGTAGGGTGAGCCCTATTATAGAAATATAAACAGAAATTTGGACACAAACAGGCATAGAGATGAGAATGGAAAAAGAAATGGTAGGAGAAAACAGCTATATGCAAACCAAGTGAAGGCCTGAAGTTTCCCTTATAGCTGCAGAAGGAATCAGCCCTTCTGATACAAATTGCCATTCCTTTCTTCTCAGCAGAAGGAAAACTATATTCATTTGTATTTTCTGAATTTAATATACCTCTATGTTACTTTTAATATTTCATCCACACCATACTTCCTGACCTAGAAATAACACCAGAAGCACAGTAAAGTGATAAGTGAAATAAAACTTGAGAGATTTAAATAGTTTTTGGTTATAGAACAACATCTTTTTTTGGTGGGTAATTAGAGATAAGAGACTCATGGTCTGCCCCGGCAGACTCTGAACTACAATCCTCAGATCTCAATCTCCTGAGTAGTTAGGATTATAGGCATGAGCCACTAGCACCCAGCTAAATTTCTTTTTTTTTTTAATTTTTTTTTATTTTTGGGGTCCAGTCATGGGGCTTGAACTCAGCCTGGGTGCTGTCCCTCAGCTCTTCAGCTCAAAGCTAGCACTCTACCACTTGAGCCACAGCACCACTTTCGGCTTTTTTCTTTTTGCTTATGTGGTGCTGAGAAATTGAACCCAGGGCCTCAGGCATGCAAGGCAAGCTCTCTACCACTGAGCCACCTTCCCAGCCCCTAAATTTCATATTTTTAAAAGCCTGCTTCCCATGTTTATCTCCATTAATGTAGGGCATCTTTCTAAAGGAAAGGCATAAAATGCTAAATTTTAAAAGTTAACCTATATCCTAAGCAAGCCATTGCCTGGAAGAATACTGCCTAGTTTTAAGACTAGTTAATATATCAAACTATGTGATAAAGAGTTGACAGCTATCCAAATATAATAGTATAGACCAAGATTCTATGTTCCATAACACTTTTGTTACTCTATTCTCTCATTTAAATGATCTTAACAGCTCTTTTTCCCAAGTGATATCATTGTCTCAAAAATTACCTTAGTTCAGCATCTTATGAATTATAAAGCAGATGCTGTTCATAACTAATTATGAATTAGGAGAAAAGTTTTATAAATATTTCCTTATACTGCACTTACCCATAAATATTCTCTCAGTTTTGCAAAATTATATAGAATTATTGAATAATAGAATTATATAGAAATAGTAAGTTATGAAATTCCTATCATTCAGTTTTCATAAAAATTTAGACCATAATATGTGGTCTTCAAGCAAGATTGAGAAATAGTAATGTGAAGAAAATAATATATACATTTTAAGCCTTGAAAAACAAGAAAAATAATGTATTTTTAATAATTGTCACTTAATAACTTCATAGCTAAAATTAGGTGAAGTTACTTTATAA